ACCAAGCGGTCCAATCCAGCTCATCGGCTTCCATTTGGAGCCCTCGATCCTCCTTCAGATTGGCATGCCTCAATGTACGCACTCTGCTACAAATCGGTTAACAGGCAGCGCTTGCCCGAACATTGGAGACCCTCTCGATCGATATCTGCTGCTTATCAGAGACTCGCCTGCAAGTCTCGAGCACTGTGCTCACTCTGCGATCCCCTTCAAGTGACACTAGCAGCACTTTCTCATTGCGCCTATCCGGTGACGATGCAGCTTCGAGCACCGGCCAGGCTGGTGTTGGCATTGCCCTGAGTCCCCGGGCTGAAGCTGCTCTGGTTGATTGGATTCCAATCAGTAGCCGGATGTGCGCGGCCCGATTGGCTGGCTCGTTAAAATCTTCGAAGTCGCGCAGGACTAATAGATGTCTATTCATCATCGCTGCCCATGCGCCCACAAACTGTAGCGATGATTCGGTAAAGAACGACTTCTAACGACAACTGACCCAGCTCCTTCGCCACAGAAGAAGCACGGATACTGTTGTGCTGGCGGGGGATATGAGCGCACAAGTTGGAAAGTTGTCCACTGATGAACTGCATCTGGGCGGCCAACACGGTGTAGGCTCCCGTAATGATAACGGTGAGCGGTTACTTCATTTGTGTGAAGATGTTCGCTTATTTCTTGCGAGCACTAATTTCCGACACAGCACTCGCCGGAGGGTGACTTGGCGCCCACCAGCCTCGAACCAGCCTTGGACGCAGATTGAGCACATTGCGATAAGTTACCGCTGGAGAGGCTGCATCCAGAATTGTCGCTCGATTTGGAGCACATGTGTGGACACCGATCATGCACTCGTATGTGCTGACATGCGGGCCCACAAATGGTTGTTAAATAGTTCACAGCATAAGTGGCTAAGACGCATCGACGCGCAGATAATCAGATCCTGCTGGGGTGCTAATGAAATACAGCTAAGAATGCTAGAGCCAGGAGAAGCCAGTGAGGGAACTGCACTACAATTACTTAAGTGTCACAAACGAGTAAAGGACAGCTGAGCATCTAGCAAGGGCAAATGTGCGCTGACCGGATGAGATAAGGAAGGTCGCCAGAAGCAAGCATAAAATGTTAAATGCAGAAAGGACAGCAGAAGGGAAAATGCAAGCATACATTAGGGGTACTGTGGGAGTCACAGCATATAAGGCTGAAGCACGGCAGGGCGTAGGTACACAATGCAGGCTAGGGTGCTTTGATATTACTACTTTGGACAAAGCCAGGGAACGTTAGTCCGAGAGCTTGACGCTTGCAGGTGAAAAGTCGAAGACCGTACAACGAATAAGAGGTATGGAGACGTCTAGAATAGAGAGGCAAAGGAGCGGCTGTGCTCTGACTTGATGAGTTAAGCAGAAGTGCTAGGAGAAATCTGAAAAAGTTACATGAAGAAAAAGGGCTAAACAAGGTTGAATGAAGAAAGGAAAACAGACAGAAAGAACGCAAGGTTACAGTAAGTTGACTGGGGGAGGCACATCACCTGAAGATATCTAAAATGGATTGAATGAAGCGTGGGAAGAAAACAGGAGGAATGCATACTGTGGTAGCCCAAGCCGGAAAAAGCAGGTGAGAGAAGTGGAATATAAGTAAGTGTGTTAGAATTTGCAGCGGGTAATGGCTAAATGAACGTCTAAACAATGCTGGCTAGACAATGGCTGTGCGCAGACATCCTAAGGTCTAAACGGTTGTCATAATAGCTAAAATGTTAGCTGAAAGGATTGTACACGGGCGGGGACAGCTAGTGAGAGCTGGACTTATACATGGGAAGATGTCACAAAGGTTTCAGAAAGTAATCAATAGATGAAGGTGTAAAAGGAGAGACTAAGGAGTGACTGTACGCATGCTTGATTAGCTAAGGAGGATTGCCAGAAGAGAGCTAAAATGTTAGCGGAAAGGACATCTAACAGGCGGAGCCTAAGCATACATTAAGGTTGTTAAAGACTGCACAGAGGTCAGCCACAGTTAAAACATGTTATCGATAAAGTGCATCAGTTGGAGAACATGACCAAGGCATGACCAAGGCATGACCAAGGCATGACCAAGGCAACCGCCGCATCAAAGTCAAAAAATCAGATTTTCAGAGTGCGAACGATGTCTGATCGTCCTGATCGTCCATGAGTCTAATAGGAATCCTAGGCTGAAAGGGTATTGGAATACCAAGCTTTCCTGATGCTGATGGTTTCGTTAATGCTGGATGCCAGGAAAAAGGGCCTAGGCTTCTTTTCCTCTCTTCGCCTCGGCAGGAAGCAGAATGACTCCTCTAATGTTCGCTGCTGAAATGGGGCTGTCATGAGGAAGAGGAATGATGCCGTATCCTCCAGCGTATCACACGTATAAAAGGAGAAATGGTTAAGGTTTTGAATAACCTTTGTCCAGAAGCTTGTGCTAAAATGAAGCGGGCCTATAGTGAACTACGAATCCGACGGGTAGCTGATGAAAGCGACCTTCACATTGTGGATTTTCGAGTGGTGAAAAGAATCCCGAGGCCTCGGTGGAGATCAAATTTCGTTCTTCCGTTGTGGTTTGCGTGTGATGTCGACGAACGTGCGGAGTTTGAGCAACGAGTTGCATGAGATACTACTCACGATCACGGAGCAAAAAGCCGAGATGATGGCGGTTAGGGAAACTTGCTAACCTCGGATATTCCAGACCCAGAGGCATTTATTCCAGGGTAGCAAATATCCAGTGCTGATCGTTTGGGAGGGACAGTCGGGGTGGTATTGCTCTTTACTGGAAGTCCGATCTTATAGTCCAAACAGTGAATGCCATGCGTGATCTCGATGGAAGATCTGACATGCGTTGTCGTAGGGTTCACGATGGGTTCAGGCCGCTCTTAATCGACATTATCTACTGATCCCCACTGGGAGCAGGATCACATCTGCTAGGCTCAAAGCGGATACACGAGAAGTCAAAGGTTGCGTGATTGTGGGTAACTAGAATGCTCCGTCCGTAGACTGGGATGCGCTTCCTGCAAAAGTTAGTTGCATGTTCTTTTGTTAGGCGTTTAGTTAAAATAAACCTTGAATGTTATCCATTGCAACAGGTTTTATCACCTACCGGTTCTATTACAGGTCATGACACTTGCATACTATTGACTGATCTGATGTCCCGGCGCCAGCCGAGCATCAGCCGTTTGGCAAAAGCGAGCACAGCGTAGTCTCATTTTAAGGCCCCGAAAGTAAACCACCATTGTATAAAGAGTGCAAAGCCAACACTTTTGCAGATAGGAAAAACACTGCATAATATTGGCTGCCAGCCTCAAAGAATGGAATATCTCTCATCACTTGAATCTCGATACTGCTTGGGACCTTTTGCGCTTCAACCTGATGTTTCCCATTGGTCAGGACGTCCCAAGGGTCACATAACAATCTTCCTCCATTCTCCGTTCTTGGACCTGAACTATTCCAATTCTTTATCAACGATCACCCGGATGTGCTCAACTTCGACTGCTTAATCTATGCGCATGATGTTAAACAGTTGTCGGAAGTATCCAAGTTTGAAGATGCTGACAGGTTGCAACTAACGCTCGATCTGCTCCACGAGCGGTCTGTCAAGTGGCACGTGCGTATCAATCGTGATGTGCTGTGTCCTCTCGATCGATGCTCATGAACCTTCCAGGGCCTACCAGGTTTGTACTTTTCTGCTGAAGCATGTGGTTGTTGCGAAGGATTTGGGTGTATTTGTCCTCCATGCCTTAGCGAAACCCAGGAAACTTTGCGGAATGTGGCATCTGCTAACATGACGCTCTGTGCCACACGAAGGCCGTTCTACAAATTGCCTCCGCAGAACTTAGGTCTTCTGTTTTTTCCTCATGTTCGTCAAATACTGTAACAGGGCCTACCTGCCATACATTACTCACCTAATGTTAGGTGAGTTGATTGAGGAGGTTCAGTGGCGAGAATCCAAGTCTGTGTCTACGCTACATGTTTTACCTTATCCCACTCTACTCCAATGACTGGACTTGTTTACTCTGGACTATTACCGACGCCGTGATGATCTGATTTTTACTAGACGCCTTTTAAAGGTCGAGTTGGGGAACGAGGTGTGGCAGTTCGTCCAGCTTAACACAGAGTGATCAACAGGGGACTACAGCTGGAAACATTTAAACTTCGGTGGAACCATATCCGGTCCCATGCGCGTTATCCACAAGGGTTATGAATGAGTGAACAATCTCCCTGCATGTGTGGTAAGTTCGCACATAGCGGAAGGTTTTACCAAACGATTGGACAAGTACGTGCTGAGCATGCCTGGATTCGTCTGTTTTTGCTGCTGCTGTAACAATCCCTCGGGGAACATAGTTTATCAACGACACGGCATCCATCCAATGAACCGGGGGGTGATAGAGCGGACGCGACTTTCCTTAATGCTATCTACACCTCTATGAACACTAAAACACTGATCGTAATTAGTATAGTAGAGATTGCTAATGCAGGGAAAGTGGACATTAATTGGTGGTCCAGTGTGTGATTTGGGTGTTTTCGTTTTGAAACATTAATGTCGTAGCATACGCTTTTAAACATAAACCAACTACCCATTCAAACAAGGGCAGGAACGGGATGAATCCAATCGTTCTAGTCCCAGCTGAACTTGAACTTTACAATGAATGGATGAATGAACTTATAATGAACAGGAGCTACTCTAGTATCACTATAGATCCTCCGATTACTTGGCTGCCTAACTGCCATAGCTAAAGAACGTTGCCTATTAAAATATGAGAAGCTAAATGCTATTCCACATTAAGATTGCGACGTGCACTTGGAATTTTACAGAGTTAGAAATAGCGCATGAACTTGTAGAGTTAATATGTCCGTCCAAACTACTACACAAGATCCGTAGCAAAGTAGGAAGCAAACAAAGTATCCTTTAAAAGGATGCAATTATAGATAACATTAGTAGCGTCTTGTTAGGTGCTTCCGTAAAAATCCCTTGTCCGGAGCCAGCATGATAAAGGTCAAGGACGGAAGTATGTGGTTAGCTGTTCCACGAGTAAGTAGTGAACTGCTGTACCTGAGCACGCTTATAGGCTTGTCGTTTGATGTCGGACGGGGAGCCGGCTCTTTGCGGAAAACTAGATGATGCAAACGATGCTCGGTATCTATTATTTGCAATATTCTAATCTATTGCCAGAAATGATAGATCCTTAAATGAATCATCACAAAAATCTGCAACCCATCGCGGTGGGCGGTACATTATTCAGGGTGAGTTCGTTATAACCCATCTTTAGACGAGAGGTATAGTTGCACAACTAGCGAATCGTGTTGAAAAAAGCAAACAAATAGGCGTCATATACGTATTATTCCAGAACATTAGGCTCGCTAGGTTACCCGGCACTCAAAGAAAAGGAGAAGAATGTTTCTGGAGCGAATTTGCTCCAGGAATATTCCTCTCCTTTAAAGAGACAGCGTTCAGGTCTGGTTCCGAGTGCGTATGTATACAAACAAAAGTAACCAGCTTGCGACAAACAAGCTGCCTATTTTTATCGGTTAAAAATGAAACTATAATTTGGGAAATCCTGGTCGCTACGCACTCCCATGGAAACCGGGAGTTGCCTTGCAAGCGCGTGGGGACGGTCGTTCGCCGACCAGCTTGCGAGACCAGGTGGTGTGACCCAATCCAGCTCTTGGGTTACCACCAGTGCGCTTGGACCCTAGCGGGCTCCCATTCTTATTCCCCTTATGCATGTCAGAAAAGGAAAACAGCGTTCGATCACACAGCGTTTTGCCACGCGATGTCCGAAGGTTATGGATGTGAAAAGTAAATTTGGTGGGAGACTCCAAGCAAACCAACCTCAGTTATTAGTGCGGGCGATATGAAAGCACGCAAACTTCCCGTGTTCCAAAATTTATCATATTTTGGTTTTCAAAACATTGCTATTTTTTGCGGCTAAGCGGAAAGTATTGTAAAGGAAAAAGTTAAGAACTCCGCTATTATAGACGCTCAGTCCAGTGAACGCGTTTACTAAGCCCAGTCAACTTACTAGGTTCGGCTGTGGACACAGTTGATTTGGGAACTGCGTCTTGTCGCGGAGTCTGGTGCGTCAGATGACATCTTGTTCGACTCGGTCGGAAGCGACGGAACTAGTGGTCGGTGCTCATGTTCAAGGTTATTGCGGGATTCGAACTGAACGACTTTGAGTCCGTCGATGCTCCCGGATTTGCGTTTGCCGTAGCGTTCAATGCTCAAGTCTCGGTCTTTATGTCGAATGGCTTTACATGGCCCAGTGTATGGGTATTATAACGGTCTGCAAGCGTCGTTAACGTCAACGAAAATGTGCGAGCAGCGATGCAGATCATGGCGATCAAACATTTACGCCTATTTTTCCTGGGTTCAAACGCTGTAGCTTAGGAGCAAGTTCTTGGACATGACATAGTTTTGGGGCCTAGGAGAAGACATCTCCAGCATGTCGCAGAGTTTGGCGATTGACCAATCTAGTGTCAGATGTTTGGACATCGGTCTTGATTACTGAGCGGATGCCCAGCAGTACCATCGGTAAGGCCTACGTTCAGTTGACTGCGTCAATTGCACTGAGGGACGTCTTGAGTTGTCTGTAGAAACGCTCGACCATAGTATTCGAAGCAGGATGTGAATGTGGTGGATGGACCCAGTGATGGCGTCTATCGGTAGTCACAGTTACAGAGCAACCGTGAATAGCGACCCAGCGATCGGCAAATGCTTGTGTGACCCTTTCGACTGCGACGTCGGGAATCGGAATACCTTCGGACCTACGTTTGCAGAAATCTGTCCTGTTCAAGATGCTGACTATACCCCTAGACGGTGCTAACGGTCCGACTATGTCAAGACGACATGTGCAAAGCGAGTGAAATTAGAGAAAATACGGCCGATTAAAAGCGGGTACATGTCTCTGGTCTTTGGTCTTCTGACGGGTTAGGGAACCACGGGCCCAGAGCCCAATATAGCGCTGCGTGCCAGGCTAGACATACCACTCAGAAATGAGCTTAACAGTGGTGTTGACAACTGTGAGCGATGTTGTTAAGGGTGCCAAAAACGATGCGAAGGAAAGATTCAGGGACGACCTTACGAAGACGTCCATTGTATATGCCGCAAACATTGGTGCCATTGGATGACATCATTAAATGGGGAGCGATGTTCAGAGAGGAATCTGATAAAGCGGACTGGCAGGCGTTATAAATAAATAAAGCTTTTATTCTCGACAAGGCGAGGCACACCTTTACAGGCATGATCAATTCGATAATACAATGCGTGATCAAGGATGTGCAAAAATCCGATATGTTTGCCAAAACAGTGCTTGTTTGTGCAGTGGGTAAGTAAGTATGTCATTGTGTGCGTTTGTGTAGTTTGCGATTGTAACTGTGCTGCTCCATTCTTGAATGTTTGCTATGGTTAGCAATGTGCGAGTAGAAGGTTGGTGTCCGTGGGTTGGAAAGTATTATACAGATATCCACGGGGCAGTGACTTTATTTTGTGGCGAGCCACGACCGCCACGTCACAGTGTTGTTAAGCAGACATTTGTGGCTTTTTATAGGGAGAATGCTAGCCAGGCGAAAACCCACCACGTCCTGGAACACTGCCGCCGAACTATTGCCTGGAACGGGTTAAACCCGAACCACCCAGCTGGCACCACGAGGAGGTTGTTCGGCTAGCCAGCCTGGCAGATCGATAGCCCGCCCGGTGGTGTTACTTGCGGAGATGCGAGAAAGAACGTCAGCAAGAATGTTATTGACTTGAGATGTGTGGTAGGCCAATAGAAACTAGGCTACGAAATCCAGCCGACGGGCCTCAGGTAAAGCGTTTTGTGCTAAATGGTTTTAAAATGCGTAACTAAACGACTTATCGGTGAAGAAAATGAACGAGTTGTCATGGAGGACGTGTCGAAAATGTTTAACTGTAACTTAGACAGCCAGTGCTTCCGCGACTGAACGTGCTTTGTTTGCTTTCGGCGGGTTGTAAGCATCCGGAGTAGAAAGTATGTGGTGTCCAGAAACCATCAGTAAATTGCTGTAGAACTGCGCCAGTTGCGGTGTCCGATGCGTCAACCGTAACATTGGACTGGACGCTTGGATCAGTGTTAAAGCATAACCGTTTCTGCCAAGACCTCTATTAGACTTAAATGCTACGGCAGCAGCAGCGGTCAAATCGACTTGGCAGCTTTTAGGCCCACGAAGTAGATCGGTCCGTGGACTTAACAGGTCGGTACAGCATGGATGATAATATCGGTAATAGTTGGTCCTACCTTCAAAGCGAAGAATAGCGGGCAGCGTAATCGTAACTAAAAGTCTATGATGGCGCTGATTCTATCGTCCAGAAGGCGTATGCCGTGTCGATCGATATGTTGTACAGAAAATTTGGCAGATGGCTGCTGAAAAATGCATTTATCGGTATTGCAGGTGATACTGTTAACGCCTACTCTATCGAAGACGATCTTGAGATGTTCTGCGTGTTGTTCATAAGGAACGCTTATCACTAGGATATCGAAAATCCCTTGCTAGACGAAAGCTGAACATCTAGTGACTAAATTTATAAATCCTAGATCATTCTGAGCTGCGTTGCGAAGGTCATGCGTAAAAATTCTGGGAGCGCAAATGGTGTGGTTACGACAGTTTTCAGTATATCTTTCTCAGCTACTGGGATCGGACGATAAGCGCGAATCAGATCGCTTTCGAGGACACACGGGTTCCTGTTAGGCTGGCCTGAATGGTTGGAATAGTACAACGATCGGGATGGTCCAATTTGTCGCATTCCTTCTCACCATGAGCGGTCGCGGAATGGGTGCAAAGACTTCATAAAGGTAACTTCGCGGACCGTGGTGGCGTCGGTGCCCCGGTCTACTTTGCTGCCGTCCTGGACTTGGTGGCAGAAGTTCTGGAGTCCGCTGGCAACGCTGCTCAGGGCAATTAGTAGGCGTTTTGCCGTGCTACTACGTAAAAAGATCAACAAGTTGGTACTGGAACGGTGCAAAAATTCCCATTGTTGTTTTCTTCCCGAGTGCATCATTAAACCGGGGATGATCAACATGTTTTGGCCTCGACGAACCTAAAATGGAACACCCGCCGGCCTGGATGTCCTGTTGTCGCAGCTAAGTCGTCATGTAGCGTCCGAGTGTGAGACGAGCACATGTGGTCTCTTACATCCCTTGACCGAAGAGTAAATTTACTCATGAAGACACTTTGGGTCCCCATCGATTTTTGCCCACTATTTGGTGACGCAACTGGACACCCTATTAGCAGACCGAAACCAATTGTTTAAACAACGAAATGAGAAGATGAATATTGGCAGATGCTAGCATTTCATATTATCTCGTCACTATCAATACAATAACAGGGAAATCCTTTTGTCTTATACGGCACAGTCAAGCCAATGAAATTTATGGTTGTGGTCATTGTTGTTGGGATTAGGACCACGACAACCGTACCTTGATAACTAATTGTTTTTGGACACGCAAAGATGGTCTAATTCGGCTTATCGCGACGGCCTCAGAAAATCGCAAAATGGTGTAAATTTGTATGACGCAACAAGATCCTGAACGCCAAAAGGGGATTAACCCGGTGACGAGTCGCCAAGATGTGCCTGACTATGGAGGACGCTGGCGGCTTGCGCGAGCATGTATCGTCGGAGTTGGATTGTGTAACTCCGCTTAACATTGGCTGCTAGCCTCAAAGACTGGAACATCTCTCATCACTTGAATCTCGATACTGCTTGGGACCTTTTGTGCTTCAACCTGGTGTTTACCATTGGTCAGGTTGTCCCAAGGGTCACAAAACAATCTTTCTCCAATGGGCCCCCATGGATAGATGGGGACTAAAATCGCTCATGCTGAGAAGGCGAAAATTTTAGGGCCGGTTCAACTTCACTCAGACGTCTCAAGATTACGCTTATTGAAATGAGGTTAGAAAATTAATGCACCCTGAGCAAGCATGAAAAGCGAGAATTATACGGGGAGCATCTGGCCGAGCAATCTGCGTTTAACCCGAAAATGCTCTCCGCAAACCTAAATAGAAGCACCAAAGCTGGCAACACTATACCTGCACTGTATTCAAGCAAAGGGGACACCGTACTTCATGATGACATGACGAAAACTGGTCTACTAGCTTCCCAATATTCTTCAGTGTACGACAGAGGCGCCATTAGTTGTTGCAGATTCCCCTTGTCACCTCCCCAGCACAGCATGTCGAAAGTACCACTGACAGAGTACTGGAACTGCTTCTCGACTTGAACTAGA